AACCGATGGGGAAGAAAGGTTCTCGAGTGGCAGCCTCGTACCGGTAGGCGAAGTGTAGGGCGTCCCCCCACGAGATGGAGTGACGACCTGGTAAGACATGCAGGAAGTCGATGGATGCAGGTGGCTCAGGACCGTGCTTTGTGGCATTCTTTGGGGAAGGCCTATGTTCAGCAGTGGACTTGTGAAGGGCTGTAATGATAATGATGAAAAATGATCTTTTCCATAAAATAGAAATATACATGTATATATACATATAAATATATATTTTTATATATAATTTTAGTTTTCCACGGTAACTAATTCAACAGTTTTCTTATCGTCGACTTCATCATCATCATCATCATTACAGCCCTTCACAAGTCCACTGCTGAACATAGGCCTCCTCCAAGGAATGTCACATAGCACGGTCCTGAGCCACCTGCATCCATCGACTTCCTGCATGTCTTAGCAGGTCGTCACTCCATCTAGTCTGGGTTCGCCCTCCACTTCGCCTACCGGTACGAGGCTGCCACTCAAGAACCTTTTTTCCCCTTCGGTTGTCGGTTTTTCGAGCGGTTCGTCGACTTGAGACTATAATTCACCCCCAAATACATGGTGACTTTTATTTTTTTATTTCTGTAAATGATAGAGTTGACCTAATTTGTGGTAGAGGCATCGTGCAGTGATTATGACTGCTTGGACGGCTCGACTTGACCGGGAAAAGACCACGCTCTCAATAAATACCAGCGTGAGATAGTAATATAACGATGTTGTGTCCTACACTAGTCATCAAAAAAATCGGCTCACCAGCTATTTTTCCGCAAATCATGATTTTCTGAAGTCAAACCAAACAAAATGTTTTAGTACTGAAATGTTTTATTTAACTTGTTTATTTACACCTACTTGATCACAGTTAAAACATCAAAATTATTTTTTGCAAGTGATATTGTGATTAATTTTAAATACGCACTAATTTTAATGTCTTAAAGGTTTATGTACACAATTGTTGCAATTTAATATTGCGTATTCCCTCCTCTTGCTCGAATGACGGCCTGCGTTCGCCGTTTTAATGACCTTATCAAGATTTTGATGGTCTGTTGAGGGATTCGGTTCCATTCTTCCCTAGTGGCGGTATCAAGGTTTCCTAATGTGAAGCCCTAATATCAACCCTATACAGCACCCGTGCGACACCCTAAAACAAAAAGTTAGAGCCCGTAATCCAGTCCCTACAACATTAGGAAACGATGAAACCGTCGTTAGGGAAGAATGGAACCGCTAGCTGGTTTATAACTACAAATAGCAAACAAATTTTATGTTTAACAAAAGCAGTATAAATAGGTGAGCTTGACTGGGAAAGGACAACGCTCTCACAGAATACGTATGGTGAATCTAAATGATCGGAGACCCTATCTATCTTGTTGTTAATTTTGTATATATGTATACAAGAGTAACAATTTTATGGGTGCTGGTGGAGAACGAACTTGGGATGCTAGTGTACTGTGAAATTTTCTTCTGGCCTTTGTATCGCCTACAAATAATTCCTTACCTTAATTCGCCCCGTAAACTTCCACTGCTGAACATGGAAGGATCTTTCCTGATGTAGGCAGGATTTGCCTCAGTCGTCACGCTTGGCATAGCATTGAGGATCGCAGAACCAGACGTGAGCACCTCAGACAATACTACCCGTTGCCGGTCTGGCTATTTTACATGTGAAGTAAACGAGGTGGTTATACCGCCATCTGTCGGAAGCCATGAGATTTTTCTGGCAAACCAATAGTCGCCTCTTACGAAACCCACAAGACATAATGTGATGGTGAATTCTCTTATGCCGCACTTCAACGCCAACATCGACTGTACTGTGTGTATAACACTAGTTCTGTGTGGAATTCGAAACAGCGATTATTAGATTAATGTAATAAGTAAGTAAGTAACACGATCAGAAGAATGTCGTTATCCTATGAATTTAGTTTGTCTACAATTCTTTCCCTCCAAAAATGAATATGAGAGACATTGTTCGTAGTATTTGGCTAAAATACTTTAAATCTATCAACATTATTTGGTATATACAACGTGTCCCAAAATTCAACGATAAGCCAACACCGGAGGATAGACCTGCCCCGGACTAATCGGGTAAAAAAAGAAAAAAAATATATCCCAATTATATTTTAAGTTATATAAAAAAAATGAAATTCTTCAGAAATTGAGACCGTTTATGATATTTTTCACTACCATGACCACAATTTTTTAAATATTTTTTTCTTTTTTTTTTATAGGCAACCTGAATAGTACTGCTATCTACCACAATTCTTAAAAACTCCAGAATAACTCTTGTTTTATCACGAAAATTAATGAAACTTATTTTATTCCCTAAATTTTTTGAAGACTTTTACTTTTAACCAAATTTAACTTATCGTGGTGTAAAAAAAAAGTATGAACACTAGTATGGCAAGTTTTTTTAAAAATTGACGCAACTAACCAATATTCCAAAATGGTATAATACTCTAGGAAAACAAGTTATAAAAAAATATGGGCCTATTATTTCTTAACAGGGGCCAAATGACGGTCGGGTGTAATAAAAGTATTATTTCTTGAAAAATGTTTAATATTTCAAAACAAATGGTACAAACAGTTTCACGTGTAATTTATTAAGTTATTAACATTATAGCAAATGTTCGAACTGTTTGCCACCAGCATTAATACATGCACGACATCGCCTTAAAAATGATCGTTTTATTTGTCTTGCATATCTTCTGCTATTAATGTAATCAGCAGCCTGAGTGATATTTCGACGAAGCTCGTCCAATGTCACAATGGGTTTTGAGTAGACCCTGTTTTTAAGACAACCCCAATAGAAGAAGTCCAGGGGGTTCAAATCGGGTGAACAGGGTGGCCATAAGATAGGACCAAGTCGCCCGATCCAACGCCCTGGATACTCTTGATTTAAATATTCTCGCACAGGACGGGCATAATGTGCTGGGCAACCAACATTTTGGAACCACATGTTTTGAAGATCACTTAAGGGCACGTCGTTTAACAATTCTTGCAAGTCATTTTGTAAAAAGTTTAAATAACTATTGCCATCTAAGTTTCCTTGTAACTCAAAGGGCCCAATTACTTTTCCATTTAATATGCCGGTCCATAGGTTAACCTTGAATTGATATTGGGATTTGTCTTGTCTCATCAAGTGTGGATTTTCATTACTCCAACTATGTAGATTGTGAAGATTTAAATACCCATCTTTCTTGCACGTTGTTTCATCCGACCATAGAATTTTGTCTAGGAAGTGGGGATCTTCACTGTGCCTTTGCAGCATTACACGGCAAAATGTGACCCGTAGCGGATAGTCCCGCGGTAATAACGTCTGCACACGCCTGTAGTGATATGGGTGAAGCTTGTGACGTTTTAATATTCGATGTGCAGAACTTTTCGGGACTCCTGTAGCTTCTTCTATGGCACGTACCGAAGTAGTCGAGTCATTTTCTATCTCCTTGAGAACTTCTTCATCACGATCCAATCTAGGTCTTCCAGCGCTACTCCTATTGGATGGCATACGACCCTCCGAAAACGCTTGATGCACATTAATAAACACTCGATAATCAGGATATCTTTGAGCATTTGGGTATCTTTCCGGATACAGTCTGCTAGCAGCGTTAGCATTACATCGGCATTCTCCATAGATTAAATGCATATTAGCGTATTCCTGTGGTGTGTACGGTTGCGGCATGTTAAACGCCAAACAGTCCAAAATGCGCCAGAACTCTAAATCACAAAACACACAATCGTAGTCCAAGATAATGCCAGGTCAGTTCAGTTTGCAGATCACTTCCAGTCCAAATAATGCCAGGTCAGTTAAGTTTGCAGGTCGATTCCAGTCCAAAAAGCCAAGCCAAAAGTCGATAGTATGTACGAGGGCCACGTAAGTTGAATTGGGTACGGTGCGCAGTAAACAAAGGAGCAGAGCGTACTGAACCGACTTGCTGAGAATAATAACAGCTTCTCTACCTGCCCTGTTGTTGTCTCTTTTTAACGTAAATATCTCTATCTATCTATCTCTCTCTAACATCTAAGGTATTAATGCCCCATTCGAATTCCTAGAAATTGTAACAGGAACCCATTTTGGGCATGTAGTAAAAGTGATTACTGACAATTACAATTTAAGGAATTTGGCCCCTGTTAAGAAATAATAGGCCCATATTTTTTTATAACTTGTTTTCCTAGAGTATTATACCATTTTGGAATATTGGTTAGTTGCGTCAATTTTTAAAAAAACTTGCCATACTAGTGTTCATACTTTTTTTTTACACCACGATAAGTTAAATTTGGTTAAAAGTAAAAGTCTTCAAAAAATTTAGGGAATAAAATAAGTTTCATTAATTTTCGTGATAAAACAAGAGTTATTCTGGAGTTTTTAAGAATTGTGGTAGATAGCAGTACTATTCAGGTTGCCTATAAAAAAAAAGAAAAAAATATTTAAAAAATTGTGGTCATGGTAGTGAAAAATATCATAAACGGTCTCAATTTCTGAAGAATTTCATTTTTTTTATATAACTTAAAATATAATTGGTATATTTTTATTTTTCTTTTTTTACCCGATTAGTCCGGGGCAGGTCTATCCTCCGGTGTTGGCTTATCGTTGAATTTTGGGACACGTTGTATATATAAGTTATTATAATTTCTCTATTTCTCCCTGGGTTAACTGATAGAGAATTCCATAAGGCATAAACTCTGCCCATTGTAAAACGTTTATGCTGTCTTACAATACAAATGCAATGTCTTACAATAATTTAAATTTTTACTTCGTGTGTATTTCAGAACAGTAATTCACACCGACAAATTATTTTTCAGAACCGTCTGAGGAGAAGATTAAATCAAATTCTACTGATAGTGACATAAACGTAGTACGTAAAGAAAACCTCAATTTTGAAGGCCCTACTATTAAATCAAACTCTAAAATCAAAAGAGATAACCAACCAATTAATAAAAAAGGAAAGCATTCTGGAAAGATTATTGAAAATAAATTTTTGAAACAAAACTGTGTAAATATACTTACGAAAAAAATATCTGGGGCATCAAGAAATTCCATTTTTGAATGTGATGACTGTAGCAAAAAGTTTTCAACAAAAGATGTTCTCGCCGACCACATATCACATAGTCATAAGACGCAAAAGAACTCGGATGCAGTTCGGACACAAGTTAAACATACTCCAGTACCACAAGTAACGGATATATTTAGTTGTGATATTTGCGAATTTAAAACATCTCAAAAACGTTGCATTTTGGCACATCTTAAAGCGCACGTCGCCAAACAAGCGTACTGTTGTAATAATTGTGATTATAAATGTATAGATAAAAGAAACTTCCAAAGGCATATGAAAAAACACACCGGAGAAAAACCTTTTTCGTGTAATAATTGTGATTATAAATGTATTACAAAATATGAATTGCAAAGGCATATGAATATACACACCGGAGAAAAACCTTTTTCTTGTAATATCTGTGAATATAGATGTATAAAAAAAGCTAATTTGAAAGATCATATAAAAATACACAGCGGAGAAAAACCTTTTTCGTGTAATATCTGTGAATTTAGATGTAATAGAAAAATTAATTTGCAAATACATATGAGAATACATACTGGAGAAAAACCTTATTCGTGTCATATCTGTGGATATAAGTATAGTGAAAAAAGTAAATTACAAAGGCATATGAAAATACATACCGGAGAAAAACCTTATTCCTGTCATATCTGTAAATATAGATTTATTACAAAAAGTTATTTGCAAACACATACAAAAATACACACCGGTGAAAAACCTTTTTCGTGTCATATTTGTGAATATAAATGTTTACGAAAAACTGATTTAAGAACACACATAAAAATACACACTGGAGAAAAACCTTTTTCGTGTAATATCTGCGAATATAAATGTATTCAAAAAAGTCGTTTGCAAACACATATGAAAATACACACCGGAGAAAAACCTTATTCTTGTCATATCTGTGAATATAGATGTAGTGAAAAAAATAAATTGCAAAGGCATATAAAAATACATACCGGAGAAAAACCTTATTCGTGTCATATCTGTGAATATAGATGTATTATAAAAAGTAATTTGCAAAAGCATATAAAAATACACACCAGAGAAAAACCTTTTTCGTGTAATATCTGTGAATATAGATGTATTACAAAATTTAATTTGGAAACTCATATAAAAATACACACCAGAGAAAAACCTTTTCTGTGTAATATCTGTGAATTTAGATGTATAAGAAAAAATCAATTGCAAAATCATTTAAAAATACACACTGGAGTAAAACCTTAATCATAGTTTATTTGCAGAAAACATTGTACATTACAGGTTTGTAAATTATTTAAGTCCAGCATGCTTTGTCATAATCATGACATACAAATATTTATCTAATATATAAATTACATTTTTTCTAATTCATCATAATCATTTTATTACATGTAATATAATTAAAATAATATAATTGTGGTTAGTTCATTTTAATTTCGATACCTAATTCTAATCATAAAATTTAATTATTCTTCAATAGAGTAAAATCATTGTTCCTCAAACCATTGTTAAACAATCCTGCTTAAACGTACCTTTGGGAGTGATTGGAACTCTGTAGGCAATGCATTGAATTTTTTTATGCACATAGCTGAACAATTTTTCCTATAGAAGCTAGTGATTGGCATAACACTATGGGGTCATTCTTTCAGTATGCCTCAAGTTCCTTTGTACAGTTTCTCTTAATTTTGTGAATAAAAGTATTGTTCGCGCCCAAACACTGGTTTCAAGATTTGACGCCAGAGGGCGCTCGGCTCGGTGCATTCGTACCGGTTTGACGTTCGGGCGAGCGGAGTGGGAGCGGAGCGCGCGTGGCGCGGCGGAAGTAACTCAGTAGCTTGAATGCAGTGGGGTCGCTAGCACGGCGTGAGGTCGCCCGGTATAACCTACATTTTTAGAGTCGGTTTTGTTAGCAAATTTATGCAACGACGAGGTTTTTGTTGAGTCTAGACAAATAGACGCCGGTTTGATTAATTATTTGGAATTTAATATTGATTGCGACGAACGTCCGGGTTTTTGATGCGTGTGGAATTTACTATTGGAGTTTTTCGCTTCTAGTTTGCTTATCCTTAGTTCGTTCACGCGATGACGAAGCAGTAATAATTTGATTGATTAACCTAAATTCGTTGGCAAGTAATTTACGTAACTTGTAGTGATTGCCGGTTCAAGAACCGGCAATCACTACAATTAACTTACAATTAACTACAATTATTACAAAGTATTATTGTAAGCACTTGTGCTTGACAATAATACTTTGCTTCGAGTAGTTGCTCGTGTGGAATTTGATATAGTTCGGAGACATTTTCCGTTGTCGGTTGAACGCTGTACTTTGTGACTCTAGAGAAGGTCGTGTTAGGTTCTAGAAATAATTTGTTGCCACGTTAAACGGAAGTGACCTTTGATCCGCCCATTCGGTATTCGTGCCGTGTGTTACGTTTTCGATTATAAGTAACGGGATTTAGTTGCGTTTTGAAGTTAGTTAAATGTACAATAAAGTTGATAGACTGAATTAGAGAATTGAAGAAAGAAATTCTCCATTGCTGCCGCCGCTGGAGAATACCAAGCCGGGAGGCGGTGCCGGAGTCAGGGTTGCGGCTGATTACAAGGGCTAATTCGTGTTAAACATACATACACTTCTCATACACTACTTACATTCACTACACCGGACGCCTGAACGAGCCTTGGGGTCCTTCTTCGCTTCTGAAGCAGGTAAGTCAAGTAAATTAAGTACCTAATCTATATATCAAATATGTACAAGTATATTATTTTTAATAAAACATTCCAAATTTAAGATGTACATACATGTAAGCGTCAAAATGCGTACTTTTTTTAAAAATATGGTTTACACGATATATCTGGTGCCAAACCATGCATCGCTCGAATACATTTCTTTTTGGACTATAAAGGCCTTAACAGCCTCTGTACTGTTACCCCAAATTAAAAGACCATAATATATTGTTACGAGCTTAGGGTTCGAGACAATTAAAAACTGCCGATTGAATTACCAAAATTGACACTTTAATTACACAACACTAATTACAATCTAAAATCACACTAATAATAAAACACAGTTCGCCGTTATTTCGCTTCGAAGTATTCTCTTTTATCGCCAATTCAATACTGCCCCGGTCGTGGTCTATACCGGCCTTATATAGGGCCTCAGATAGTTTCCAGAACCTTATACTGTAGCGACATCTAGAATGTTCGAGTACATATCGGTCCCGAAATTTCTGGAAGGATCTCGACTCTCCTAGTTCTGCTACTCGACACTAGAGGGCGCTAGTGTAACTAGTGATGCCATGTACAAGACATTAATAGTGGCGCGCAACACTTTCTATTACTCGACACTAGAGGGCGCTAGTGTAACTAGTGTTGCCATGTACAAGACGTTAATAGTGGCGCGCAACACTGCCCCCTCCTAAGACATGCTCGTCCCGAGCATTACTGGCCCCGTAATAACGCGCCAGTCGATCCACATGGACAATCTTAGGAGTGCCTCTGGCACCTTTCTGTATCCGGTAGGTTACATCATTGATCCTTGTCACAATCCGGTACGGTCCGTCCCATTTAGCTTGAAGCTTAGGAGATTTCCCTTTGTTGCGAACTGGATTGTGTAACCACACTAGTGAACCTTCACAAACCCCTTGTTGTTCATTTTGCGGTCATACCGTGTTTTCATCTTCTCAGACGTTTGTTGGCCCGTCTGACGTGCTCATAAATATCATTCATTTTGTTCCGCAAGTCATTTGCATAATCGGCTATACTGCGTGGGGCATCAGGTGGTATTCCGGTGATCAGGTCTGCAGGCAGCCGTAATTCTCTCCCAAAGTTTGCGAAAGCTGGCGTCACTGATGTACTTTCGTGAACAGCGCTTCGATATGACAACAAAAACGATTGTATGTGCCTGTCCCAGTCTCGTTGCCGTTTTTCCACAACTTTTGCCAGGTACCTTTCCAATGTCTGATTAAATCGTTCTACCATTCCATCAGATTGTGGGTGGTAAGAAGTAGTTCGTGTTTTATGAGTACCCATAACTCTGCAAGTTTCCTGGAATATTTGAGACTCGAAATTCCTTCCTTGATCGCTGTGAATCTCTAAGGGTACTCCAAAACGACAGAAGACTTCATGAACTATTTTATCTGCAACTGTTGAAGCTTCTTGATTTGGAATGGCGAAGACTTCTGGCCACTTAGTGAAGTAATCCATCACAACCATGAAATACTTGTTACCACTTTCACTTTCCGGAAACGGCCCAGCAACGTCAATGGCTATCCTCTCCCATGGTGCACCAACATTGTACAATTTCAATGCGCCTCTACTACGAATTTGAGGTCCCTTTAAAGCCGCGCAACTTTTACATTTGCGGCACCAGTCCTCGACATCGTCACGACAGTGGACCCAGTAAAACCGTTCTCGGATCTTCAATAGAGTTCGTTTAACTCCCAGGTGGCCTCCTGAACAACCACTATGGTACAACTGTAGAACATCCGGTACTAGCCTTAGGGACAACCATTTGCAAATGACAACTGTCTCCCCGACCATTTTCCCATTTACGGCACAGGACTCCATCCTGAATCAGCAAGCTGTCCCATTGGGCCCAATAGCTCTTCGTGGTCGAACTCATTGCTGAGACGTCGCTCCACTTGGGCTTAGGAGCACTGGCCTTCATCCATTCCAGAATCGGCTTAATGTCCGAATCTTCCTGCTGTGCATGTTGTAGGCTGTCCTTCCACTCATTGCTGAGCTGGTCTGTCCTGAGCATTCTCACAGATACCACTTCCTTACCCTCTTGCCTAGTACAATGCTTGCAATCTTCAGGGCAAGATCTTCTTGACAATGCATCTGCATTGCCATGAGATTTCCCGCTGCTTCCATCCACCTCCGCTCTGGACGCCGTCAAATTTTGTGATATCCTCGTAGAAATGGTTGGGTTCCTCCGAATAAATGCTTTTAGCCATGTTCTACCTGGTCTTCCATTTTTAAATAAGCCACATGGACGTTTTATATCCTTCAAGTATTTTTCTACACTTACGATTAACTGTTCAGTTGTCACCGGGAAACCCGCTTTTGCTGTATTTTGCACCCAGTCGCATATTTTTTTCTCTTCTTCTGATGTAAGAATTGCCGCTGGGCCCATCTTTCGTTCCATTGGTGACTTCCCTTTTACTTTATTTGTAAGCGTTATTCTTGGTACGCCAATTTTTTTTGCAGCCGTTCTTATGGGTGTCTTATGAAGACGAACATCGTTCACTTCTGAAAGCATTGCAGCTTCAGTATAATTTAGGAATGCGCCCTTTTTCCCAGACATCTACAATGTCAAAAATTGCTTTTAGTATTATACTTTACAATAAAGGTGGTCAACTACTAAATAAAAGAAACTTAGAGTAAAAGCAAATAAAATAGTTGAATTCTAATTAATGGTGCCCTTCATATATTACTTTATACAGTATATATACATGACAGACAATTTCATCAGTAGTTGACCATCCCGGTCAATTACTAGAAAAGCATGGTAAATTTGAGTCAGTAATGGACCACCCCACATGTTGACTTTGTAAATAATAATTTTTGTATTTTAAATACCATGTTATACCTTAATTAATGCTAAACAAATAAGAAAATCAAAACATTTACCATCAACAAGGTTATTAAGTTGCTAATATTTGACTTCAAAATTTTGCAATCCTTAAGACAATGTTCACGAAAAAACGAATAATAGTTTTACGCTGTGTCACTCCACAAAACAACTGCCGGCCATTTTGAGTTTTAGAAAATGGCGGATGCGCAGTTCGCACGATTCGATGATCAGATGGCAGCACTGACTATTTAATATGAAATTAGTTTAAAAACATTCCGCGAATTCTTATTTTATCGGTTTATCTGAGTTAGTGGTCAACTACAGGTACATGGTTAATTACTAGTGCTGTTACCTTACCCCAAAAACTAACTTGCCGTTTGAATAGTGTGCACTTCTTTGGACTCAACTTGAGGTTGGCACTCTGGATCTTCATGAGCACGCGTTCCAGGTTTTGAAGGTGTTCCTCAAACGTACGGCCTACGATGATGATGTCATCCAAATAGACCAGACAGGCATCTCCAATTAGCCCGGTAAGTACAAGCTCCATCAACCTTTCAAACGTTGCTGGAGCATTGCACAATCCAAACGGCATGACTTTAAATTGCCACAGACCCTTTCCTGTGGAGAATGCAGTTTTCTCCTTGTCCTTCGGGTCAATTTCAACCTGCGA